GTGAGCGTGTAAATGTAAATGTGCAGCGGTGTTTGCGTAAACTTTACGGTCGGGTAAAAGCCTCAAGGCTCAAAGGCCTCTCTTGGAAATAAATGTACATCGATTCCGCGGTAAGACCGATAACCGCGAGAAGACTTGCCAAGACGTGAAATGCGGGCATTATAATGACTACATCATTGTCGCCACCACACTAGGTCAACGATAGTTCACAGGCCAAAAGGTGGAGTTTAAATTTAAAAATAATTCTAATATAATACATCATAATCATCGATCGTGATTATGTATTTCGCTCGATTCGACGCTAATCGAACTTCACGCCATAACATAATCGAATGCCTATGTGTTATATTAATTCCTCCTACGCCCTCGAGTCACGATCGATCGATGGTTATAAAATGTTCCATAATTGCACCAAACGAGGTAGGCATATAACAGCCAACAGGTACATTTCACGTCGTCGGAGAATAATATAATCTTGATTTCGAATTTAATATTATGCTGCCTATTTATTTTACAACGCTTTAAAACATTTTCTGAAACACGATTTATGTATATTATTCCAATAGTAACGGTATAATTAGCAAAAATATAATGTATAAAGGTTCTTGAACGGACTGTTTACTGTTACCCACCTATATAATATAAATATATAACGAATAATCTTAAATTTCCTTCAATAGGTATTTTATTTTTAGTCGATTTAACGGAATTGACTTTTGGTACTTATTAGCTTAACCAGAAAATGATTAATGTATTTATTTAAAGTAGATTATTATTGGTTATCATATAGGTTAGATATAAAATGGATTACACAATAATATAATACACCTACATAATTGATAACCATAAGTTATTGATCTCCCGCACCAAGACTTGTAAAAAAATACAAATATTCGCATCACCGAGATATTGCAAACATATTGGGATGCAATACCAATCACCATAATAAGATTAATACAATTATAGCCTCTGAATCGGATTAAAAAATAAATCAAAAAAAAACAGTACACATAGAGTCGTCGTCAGCATGTTGCAGCAGAACAATATATACCTACCTACCAATTGTCATTAGACGATTAAAGTGCGGCCGAGAGACGAGCGGTACGTTGAATTATGTACAAATAAATGGTTCGTTTAAATTCGGGTAAAAGCAACGCGAGAGAGGTTTAACCTGTCACGCGCGTGTGTTAAATTATGCACGACGAAAAAAGGTCTTACACCCGAGGCGGCGGAGAGCCCGTTGGGACTTACGCGTGTTTTCCGATTGTGTTATCAATCGCGAACAGATGACCCGCCGAAACGGGTGATGATACATATTTATAATGCACGTGTGAGAGTTGAAAAATCCGCATAAATTCTGCTCAGAAATATATTATAACACCCGATCTGTTTTATTATTTATTTTTTTTTTTACCGATTTCGTGACGTTAACAACTTGTTTCGAAGCTATGAACGCGTGTTCCGGGCGGCGTTTTGTGGACGATGCTCGATAATAATATTATGTAAGTAATTCATCACATTTTTGGAAGTGATGACATCAATCTCTTTGAACAATATTTACGCGCTGTTTGACATTTTATTGCAGCGTACCTAAAGCCTGCTATCACGGCTTCCGACTGAGCCTAACCTCACAGCCGCATGACACTTGTATCTTTTTCTTTTTTTATTCAAAGGCAAAAACCACTCGACTGTCTGCCGTCTAGTCTGAAATAGTCTAATAATTACGTAGGGCAGTGCGTCACAACCACGATTTTCCCCATCAGTGTTTTTTTTTTTTTTACAATAATATTCCTATAATATTGTAATAGTGTATTTAAAACATATACATTGTAAGCGCAAACAATCAAATATCATGTGTATTAAGCTCGCAAGTTGTTTGATGTTTGAACGTACTATTATTACAATCACAAGTGCTGTGTAATTGTGTAAATTGTGTGTAATCAATACACACCGGAATCGTATAATTATTTTTTATACTTGTGTTTGTGTTTCGTGAACAATTTATTCCGAATTTAGGAAACACAGATCTTTGCAGTGACCAAACGATTTCGTGCCAGCTTTGTTTCAGAGTATCAGTGTAATACTTATATCGAGTTACTGATTTTATATTGTATTTTTTTATCTACAAAATATTGTAATGACGAGCCATAGTATTATAATAAAGTTATAAAAAAAGTCGAGCTATCACCACGGCAAAGGTTCTCATCAAGGTGGATATATATATATGTATCCACCTTGGTTCTCATCAATTTCGTAATATTGATTTGAGAACGATTCATTACTTTAATACAAACATATTGTTGTATACAACAACACGTGTCGTGGCTATTACTAATAGATCACAAGTGTACGTACAAACACACGAAACATTTATATTCTACGTACATGTTTACAAACACAATTCGCAGTCCACGTTCATCTCATGTGCTGTATTAGCCTGAAGGTCTGCAGCCTATAGTGGATCGAGCTATTTCCAATCATAGAACTTATAATAACAATTATTGAAAAATCGAAAAATTCTAGTGCAAATGTGTTGGTTGTACACCAAGATCCACCCACGTCAGACTGCTAGAATTACAATCATGCTCTGCCCAGTAGTGTAATGTCTATGCGCCCATAACTGAACCACATTGTAATTATTGGCGTAAACAATATTTCAGTCACACACACTCAATTTTGAAACGACAACCACCGATTGATAATTATAGTATTTATTCTACAACCCCATCATTTCTGCGGCAACCGATGATACCGACACGGTAGGTTAGTGTGTCTACCTGTACCTGGAAGTGGTAGCGGACGAGGAGTAGACCATTCGATACGGTGACCGCCTGACTAATAATCAGTTAAGTCGCAGTGGTTTATTCACCGTGATTGTTTTAATCAATTAAATTATGAAAATGATTTTATAATAATTATGACGCATAAGCTAAGAAAAAAAATGTGGTCCTATTATGTATCATTAAAAATCAAATACAACAACAGAATGATGGCGGAAAACATACATATACAATGCATGAAAAATGTATTGGTTTAATATGATTCGATAAAATGTAATGGACCATTAAACTGACTAAACCACCATGTTTCGGGGACCATAATATTAGATTACTATATTGACTCGTTAAATGTTTAATGATTGTTCATGCAATCCATGGGCATAAGTACTTTAATTTTTCGCGTATCCTCGACATTTTATGGCATGCAATGGATTTGCAATGCCTGTGGTCCTCCACGATATTATAACCGAAACCGGGATCTGCAGAAGGGGCCCCCTGGATTATCGATATCGAAGCCGCATTGACTACATATTATGCACCTATAGCAAGCGGCTCGCAAATAATATTCTCCACGAGGTAGCTGCTATGTATATATAATTATTATTTTAATAACACTCGAAACGTATTTAAAACGAGCAGCGCTTATAGTATATTATACTATTATATGCCTACCTGCTATAGTTATTATATGGTCTGCTGTTCGTTTCAGACCGGCCAGAGGGTATTATATAATATAATATTTTGTTTTTCAAAGAAAACACTTCTCGACTGCGGGGCCTCCCGCGCCGGCCGGTTTTATGCTTACAATTTTCAAACTACCCACCAGACTTCCGTATACGGCATACGCTAGCCACGTATTCCAAACGGTCATTCATTTTTTTATGTGTTCATTTATTTATGAAAATTAACATATTATTGCTATATTGTGTATATTATACTAGGTTCTGTATGGAGCTATTATTACCTGTAGGCTGCCACGTTGCGCAACATGTATATAAATATATATAAACGTGTAGACTTTTTTAGGTGTGAAGCTTTTAACCTAATGGAACGAATGCAATAATGATATTAGGCGTACTATTATATGCTACAGCGGATAATAAAGGCTATAAG